TATGCTTTTTTCTTTGACTTTTATTAATTTTGGTAGGGAAAAATAAAAAAATAAGGAAAAAAATAAGCCCTGAAAAAATAAGAAAACAAAAACAGTAATATATTAAGTTATATTATTTTTTTGACAAAATTTTTTAGTTATTTTATTTAGATTTTCTATTTCGTATAGTATTTGTTTCCTTTCTAGTATTTTTTTTTTTATTCTCTGTTGTTTTTTATAGCTTTTTTTTGCTGCAAATTTTTAAAACGCTCACTATATAAAAATTTTGTCTAATTGTCTAAACATCCAAATACGGTACCCAAATACGGTCGACACTGTCGAAACGGAAATATATATATATATATATATATATATATATATATATATATATATATATATATATATTTGGGTTGTTCACTTTTGCAAGAGTTGAGTTTTCGATTAAAAAAAAAATTTTCAAAGCTCAATTTTTGTTTCGGTAAGTTTGAAAGGATTTTTAGTTACTTAATTTTAAACCGAAATGAATTTTACTTTTCGAAATTAACGATATTTTTTCTATACATTTTTTAATCATCAAAAACCAAAAAATAGCTCCGAAACTATTTTTTGCTTTCGAAATTTTGAAAATTGTATCGAAATATATTTAAACACTATCGAAAATTTACCAAAACAGTTTTTTACTTTCAAATCTCTATAATTTGTATCGAAATATTTTTATATTATCGAAATTCGAAAAATGGCACCGAAACATTTAATCACTTTCGAATCTCTATAATGTCGAAGTCTTGTTATACGATCGAAATTTTAAAAATGGCGCTGAAGCAACATTTCACTTTCGAATCTCAATAATTTGCACACAAATATTTTTATATTATCGAAATAATATCAAAACAATTTTTTATTTAAGGCCGGCGCGAAGTGTGTGGTCCATGAATTTTTTGTTCATATAGTCGGCAAATTTCACCCTTTGAGACAAGTCAGTTGGCAAATGATGCCCTTTAGACAAGGCAGTCAGCAAACTTAGACAGTTTCTTTTGACTACGAGACAAGGATATATATATATATATATATATATATATATATATATATATATATATATATATATATATATATATATATATATTATATATATATATATATATATATGTATATATATATATATATATATATATATATATATATATATATATATATATATATATATATATATATATATATATATATATATATATATATATATATATATATATATAAATATAAAATACCTTGGTTTCAGTGTTTTATAATGGATGATGTCTTTTGGGTGTAAAATTTTGAGGAATTTTTTCTGCGATAGGTGTTCATTTTGTATTACTTGAGTTAGAGTAGTTGGAAGGGGAGAATAGGGTAATATAAGCACCTTGGTAATATGAGCATACTTAAAGATTTCTTAGATGTAAGAAGTGAAGTTAAACTTGTTTTATATTTTTCCAATCGTCTTTATGTAGTAATAACAGGAATCAGTACAATTAGCGTAAATTTTTATGCTGTAATTAGCGGCTGTCATCTAATTAAAATGTCATTAAATATTTTGTGTTATTAAAGTAATATCATCATGCATTAATAAATTTGTGGCGCAAAATTTTGGTGCTAAAATCATGAAATTAATTTTTTCATAAAGAAAAATATGTTAGCTAAAAATCAAATCCATTTTTTTTGAAAAATAATACGTAGAAACATTTAGTTTTGACTTTATTTAAAGATGCCATATTTGTGTAAAATAAGCATGCTCAAATTACCCAGTATTTTTCATTGAAATTACCTAGTTTAAAGTCCTAAAGTAGCAGTGATTTTAATTGCTTTTTAAATAAAAACAAAACATAACAAAAAATTTTAATATTTTAACAATACTAATATACTTTTCTGTAATTTAAGTTCAAAAAATTTGAATTTTTATCATGTAAAGGTTAATAAAATTGAATAAAAACGAACTAATTTTGTTTTTGCGGAAAACATAGCAGTTACATTTTTATGACATACTTTGGCAAGTAATTTTCAGTTATAAGTATCTTTGTTATGTTAATTACTTATGTTAGTTTTTATTTGTAAAAATGAATTAATTTTACTACGCACTTCTACGCATTACTACGCATTCTTAAAATTAGCTTTATATAATTAAATGCAATGTTATTATTATTATTATTTAGTAACTTAATTTTATTCATAAATATATTTAATATTTTACATTTAAAAAAAACCTTATTATTTTACTTCAAAGTAAGCTAAAAGTTCTCTAATTTAACCTAAGTTCATGATTCTGTTAAACCAAGTGTATTAGCTGTTGTAAGTTTAAAACTATTTTTAGGATTAAAACAATTTTTGAGGCTAAAGAAAAAGACAGAATCCTAAAAGTTAGATGGATTTGGGACAATTCCATGCATGAACTCCCCAACAGTCAAACATTGCGTGTACTTTCCACATTTGTAGGCATCTGCACTACTAAAAATTTTTGTAGATGTCTGCGAAAGCGCAATTAGGCATTACACTTTTCGAAACTCTTTTTTTTCTTTTTAAAAAAAATTCACTTAATTGAAAATCTTTTTTTTTTTTCGAAACTAATTTAACTTATCAAAGTTCTTTTTTTTTTTTGAAATTTTTTTAGTTTTGTAAAACTTTTTTTTTTTTTCGAAAAAAATTTAGCAAATCGAAATGGGTTTTTTTTTTTCGAAACCAATTTAACTTTTCAAAACTCTTTTTTTTTTTTTCGAAATTTATTTAACTTTTCGAAAATCCATTTAAATTTTGAAATCAATTTAGTATATCTAAATTTTTATTTTTTTTCGAAATAAATTTGACTCTTCAAATTATTTTTGCTATTCAAAATTATTTTTGCTATTCTATATTTTTTGAAAGTTTTTAAAAAATCCAAAAAAATTTTTTTTTTATCAATAATGTTTAATCTAAAATTTTTCGAAAACCACGTTTTAAAAAATGAACCCTAATATATATAGCTTATAAAATTCAGGTTGGCATTCTGTAATGCTAACGCAAAAGCTGACCTATCTTTGCCTTATGATGGCTTACAACTGCCGAATTGAATCTCTTAAAGAGTCAGCATGCAAAATAAAGTATATGTAAAAAATATGTAATTTGAAAATTTTGTGTCTAGAAAGATCAGGCTTTCACTGAAAGGCATAAGACTGTACGCCATTATATGACTATGCAAATAATACTTTGTTTTGACAATTTGACCACAGGTTTTAACATGTTTTAAAATTTAAAAATGTGCTGAAAAAACTTACTTGAACTAAAAAAAAAACTTTATTTTAAAAAAGAAAAAAAATCTTAATGAAGGAGATGATTGTTTTAAAAATACTCGCACTTAATTTAAATTATAGGGTTTTTTTACTAATTTAAAAATATAAGTTTCAAAGTAAATACACGCTAGTATATAATTATGCATTAAACACCATTTCATGCATTGTTTAAACATTTTTACATTGTTTTTTTTTTGTTATTATTTTTTTATAATTTGTTTCAAAAGATTAACATTTGTCATAAAAAATATATAATTATATAAATTAAAAAAACAGTATATGATATTCATTAAAGGGATCCCAAAGTGCTGAGACAAGTTTTGTTCATATTAAAGAGAATGATAAAAAAAAATGTTTGGCCTAATTTTTTTGAGTTAAATAAAATAATAAATATATACCAAGAAAAACTAACTTTGTTGTTTTACTTGAAGCTCGCCGTCTCCTTGTTAGCCAGTTGCTTTAAGTCTTTAAAATATATGCCACGATTGACAGACAATTTAAACATTTTAACCTTATTGTTATTCAAAACATAATGTAGTTTTTTTATAAAATTAATTACTTTTTTTATCTTACCACTTATAGAATAGGGTGGGATGGTGGAATATGGATAGAATTTTAGATATATATTTTTTTAATATAATTTTTTTTTTCTAGTTTATAACCACCATAAAAACTTTTGTTATTTTTCTTTACATTCAGGGTGTATACAATAACTTCACAATGAGTAGAGCATAAATATATTTTCAATAACTAATCTTTTTTTAGCAACACCTTTCATATATCCATATATCCGTATTACCCCACCATCCACTGGTGGGGTAATATGGATACTTATATTATATTTGATAGATATATCACTTTCCATGAATTTAAAAGGTCAAACTGTATTGGTTATGACTTGCAGTTTTCTCTATCTTACTGATAGTCTTCTTTTTATTTTTATTTTTCTCTTTTTCTTGCAACCTTGCGATAACATCTTGAGCTGTTAAAGTTTTGCCAATTTTTGTCCAGAAGACACGTATACTGTAATACTGTTATACATGTAATACATGTATACTTCCTTAACAAGCTGTATGGAAGTCATTAATTTGCTGTGATTGTATGTACCAATAGCCTTGCATTGATATTTTATTTCAGGAATTATAGTTTATTTCAGTAATTATTTTATCTAAAATATTATAAAATAAACTTTAATTATATAAAATATAAAATTTAAAATTGATGGCAGTTAAATGCTTTAAAACAAGGCCTTCGATTGATAAAAATATTAGAGGTATGAACCATAAAAATGGTTAATAACTATAGTATAATAATAATAGTAATAATAATAATAATAATAACAATAATAATAATAATAATAATAATAATAATAATAGCAATAATAATAATAATAATAATAGATTATTAATAACTAGTATATTAAGACTTATTTAATTCATAATAGTTATTTATAAGTCAGAAGTTCAATGTTCTAGCCAAATAAGTGAAATAAGTTAAGAAGGTAGCATGAGCTTTTTAATTAAATACTTATCTGTGGTACTCTTAGAACCTCCTAAAAAATTAGAAAATATATAGAGCTGAATGTTTTTTTATGCAAAGCTGTTTAAACTTTTTTTAAATATTCTTTTTTAAAACTTGATTCAAAGTGATTATAGTTTGATCATAAGGTATATGATTAAAATTTGTAAATATAATTTTGTTTGATCATAATGATTAAAATTGTAGATGTCAATGAGTGTGAAGGAACAAATCCATGCATGCAAAATTCTAAATGTAAAAATACTGATGGCAGTTATGAATGTAAATGTGAAGATGGCTTTGAGCTGGTTCATGGAGTTTGTCAAGGTAATTATTTATGTTAATGTTAATTTTGATTTTTTCGGTTTGATTTTTGTGCTTTTAGTCTAAAAAATAAACCTAAAAATATTTTAGTTTAGAAACCATTATGTTGAGTTAGAAGTTTATTAAAAATTCCTTCCTGGGTCCTTATGAGATCCAAAGACACCATTGTAATTCATCTGTAATCCTACTAAAAAAAAGCTTTTATAAAATATGTTTTATTATATTTTTTGTATTGTATTGGATATATAGTTTAAAAAGATATAAAGTAAAGTACCAAGCGTTTCCATTCATCAGTAAAGTAGAGTACTAAGTTTTTTCATTCACCAGTAAAATAGAGTACCAAATTTTGTCAGGTAAAGGAGATTACATTTAAGGTTAGCTGCCTGTTCTAATTGACCAAAAAATAACTTTTTATCAAGACTAAAGTTTATAGTTGTATCATTGTTTTTTTCTACAAATGCTATAATGGTTACACTACAATGATAAATACATCTTTTTTTCTACAAATATTACCATGGTTACTCTGCGCTGGTAAACACATCTTTTTTCTTACAAATACTACCATTGTTACTGCTTAAGGAACCTAATAGAAGCCTTGTTAAGTAGCGTTACGCCTTGTGAATTTTATCTACAAAATGGCAATTTCATCTACGCGTAAGACAATTTATGTTATGCCAAAACTTTTTTCAATAAGATTATCTAAACAGTCTTTTAAAATATACGGAAAACATTAAGCAGTAATTAATTTAGTTTTAAAATTGCATTTTAACAAAAGTTTTTTCTTTTTCATTAATTTTTTAGATTAATCATAGAATTAACGTTGATCAGGAATGATTAACTGGTTTATGAATAGGCAAAGATTTTGTTAAAGCCAAAATGTTAAAAAGAAATTGTTAAAATTTTTTTCTTTTTTGACCACTAAGAAATTCACCCTTAAATAACTGCCCCCTCATTAATAAAAAAAAAACTACTAAATTGTGAGAAAGAAAACATAAGATGATGTTGTGTTATAAATGTTTTAAAAAATAAATAGCAAAAATTTAAAAATTTAAATAAGTATAAGTTTTTCAAAAAAAGGATTTTTTTTTTTTTCAAACCACATGTTTTAAGTTCATTGATTTTTTATCTCTATAACAAGATTGTTTAATTTTATGAATATTTTATTAAGATAAAGACTTTAGATGGTTTTTAACTTTAAAATACGCAACTGACATAATTTAACTTTTAGCGATGTAAATATGGATATTGAATAAGTTTCATTTACTCGTGTTACAATTTTCTGTTATGCAACAAAATTTCATAACAAGGCCTGCTATCATCTTACTTATTGCTTAAGTTGCACTCTTACTGTTACTAATTTTTAATGCTCAAAAATATTTTGTATAAATTTAGTTTTTTCCTTAAACATGTTTTAGAATTTTCTTTTATCTTTTTTTCTGATTCATACAGTTAGAAGTTTTTTAAGCCTTCTGTTGACTTTTTTTTTAATATTATAACTTCTTGACTTCTAGTATCTCCCAACTTAAATAGTGGTTTCTTGAAGCTTCATTGGAATAAAATTTGTTTAAAAAAACAAAAAACAAAGATGAGCTCTTTACATGCTGTGCCTAGAACTAACAATGAATTAACCTGTTTGCTTGGAGCTAACAATGAATTAACCTGTTTGCAAGGAGCTAACAATGAATTAACCTGTTAGGGATGTCAGTAAGAATGTAGTTATTATATAAACTCAATTAGAGGAAAAGTTTTGCAAAGTTATTATCCTTGTAGGAAATAAAATGACCAGACCCCTGATATATATGAGATAAAATATCAAACTTGTTTTTGCTATTGACAATATTAAAGATTATCACACAGTCTCAAATTTGAGAAAAAATGCCTTTTGAGAAAAACAAGCCCAACTTTTGAAATTAAATGATAGGTGATATTTGTGTATAAATTTCTTGCAATTATAAAAAAAACTTTTAAAAATTTTTCTAGTGAAAAAGAATGTTTTGGATTAAAATAGGAAATAACAAGTGCACAAGAAGGAATGTAGACACTGGACAAGAAGGAATGAGGACACTGTTTTCGACAAAAAAGGGAAGACATCAGCTTAAGAATCATCATAACAAAAATTGAAAAAGGTATTTCAACTAATCTTTAGACAATTGTAAAATAATATTCTAAAATAGAGTTAATCTGAAGATGAGATAAATGTTTAGAGATGTTTCGAGTTATGTTTTGAATCACCTAAGGAAATACAAGAGAGAATTAGAGACACAAATCAAGGAGCAAAAGTAAATGAGTTGGGTTGTCTGAAAAATAAAATGTTGTTTGCCTGGGTTAGAGATTCCGATGGCTTCTAAATATTTATAAAGCATAAAATTTTGAGCATCTTACAATTCATAAGATATTCAGATTTTAATTTTACTGATTTATGCAAAATGTTTTTGCAACATTTTTTAACATTAAATAATAATATTTAAAGAAACATTTTTAGATATTTTCAGTTGAAGTTATTTTTAAGCCAACTTTTCCAGTAGGTTGATATGTAGATTGACAATTGACATCTAGATTGACAATTGATATCTAGATTGATGTTGACCTTTTTTCTAAAAATACAAAGCACTCAAAAAATGAGATGGTGTTAAACATTAAATCATGTGCATGTAATTGTATGTAATCGTGCAAATATATATTTTGAAGAAATTGAAAAACTAATTATAAGTTGTGATATATTTAAGATAAAGAATAATTTTATTTTCAAATATTAACTTCCTTCAACTGAGTTCCTGTTTAAATGGTCATCAAGAATAAAGTAAAAAGATGACTGTACTAAAAGTCCCAAATTTCATCTTTCTGGATTCATCTAAAAAGAAAATGAAAAAGTTTCAGTAAGAAAAATGTTCATTTTTTTCTCAGAATGCTGTCAAATAATTAGTCTTGTATTTTGTAACTCTTGCAACAAAAATACAACTGTTTCAAATCTCTGTTCCTTAAATCTCTGTTCCTTAGATGAAAAAATCAAATTTCACTGACTTGTTTTTTGTGCCCTAAAACAAAAGTCTATTGTTTTTGACTACAAGCATAAATAGTTCTTCTAGTCAAAGTGTACAAAGACCAAATTGAACTTAAAGTTGCCTCTCAAACTCCTTCCTTTGAACTTAAAGTTGCCTCTCAAACTCATCAACATTCCTGGATTATCTGTAAGTATCTTATTTTTGTTATCTTCACTTAGTATGCAATGTAAATTAAATGAAAAAATGAACAATGATCAATGACTAAAAGTTTTTTTTTATAATATAGGGTCATGGTGGAAAATACTCATACTGCAAATTGTCATCAGCCAATTAGAAATGAGTTGAAAAATCATCAGCCAATCAGATATGAGTTGAAAAGGCTTTTAAATCACAAGTACTTTTAAATTATTTAAATTGAAAAAGAAAAAATTTGATAGCAAACCAGCAGAACCAGCAATACAGATGAGATAATACGAAAATGTTGTTATCATGCTATTTATTTATAATGCCTGTTAAATATTAAATTGGCTGAGAAAATTATCAACATAATTATTTAATTAAACAAAATATTTTTTAGAACCTTTTCAATTTAATTAGGTACAGTTAGAAGATGATTGAGAAGACAGTCTACATAATTGAGTTTAAGAAGACAGTCTGCATAAAATTATAAGATATATTTTAATATAATAATTTTCAGCAAGTTAATGTAATGGTCTTGTTCGGTTTAGTTGCTGAATGCTGTTTTGAAATGAAACTTGATATATCTTAAAAATAGAAAATGGATAATTTTGTGGTGTGTGGACTATATGTCCATGGTGCATTTGGGAGTTTCCAATTAGATAGAGGTTTTTTTGTAATTGTGAATTTGCAGTCATCAGTTCAGATTTTTGCTGAAAACCTCAATTTTTTGATATTATACAGAGCAGATTGTTGTATAATAAATAATATTTATTTATTGTAATGTTGAAAAATCATTTTAAAGTGAAAAGTCATTAATGAAAAGAACTTTTCATTGACAATAAATATTATTATTTTACAAATAAAGTTTACATTACAATAAATAGATATAGTTTATTTATTATACAATGACCTATTCTGCATAACAATGTTTAATATCTAGATATTGCTACTAAAAATGTTGCAATTTTATTCGCTTGTTACATTTCATTAAAAAATAAATTTGAAATGAAAAAATTGAAATCCAAAAATTTTTGAAAATGAGTAAAAATCTGCTTAAATAAATAAAAAAAGAACATAAGAAAAAAAAAAAATGAAAAAAAAAAAGAACATAAGAAAAAAAAAAAAAAAAAATGAAAAGAATTGGAATAAACAAATAAATAAAAAAAGAACATAAGAAAAAAAAAAAAAAAAATGAAAAGAATTGGAATAAACAAATATTATGCAAATATTGAAATTTTTACCATTTTAAAAATGATTTTTTTTTTTTAATAGTTAAAGTGAAATATTAGGAAGTTTTCACTGATACGATGAAAGCTGTTCAATTAGAGTTTTATATTCTTTTGAGGTGCTGACTAGGGTTTCCTATTTCTTGTAAATTTTGCATCCCAGGATTCCCTGTGTGTATCCCAAGATTTCTAGGGATCCTGTCATAATTTTTATTTTATTTTATCTAAAATCATAATTAAAATATAACAAACAAACAGTACTAACACCTAGCACAAATTTATATAGCACAATAATCTGAATTATTTGAATTTAAAAGATTGTTGTAAAAAACATAAACAATCAATTTGTATATCACTTAATTGTGAATGAATTTTCCCCATAAAAAGTCCCTCCTTTGTAGTATATATAACCAGATATAATTTTTTTTTACTGCTGCTTTTAATGCATGTTTGGAAAAAAAGACTAATTTTGAATTGATATTTGTTTTGTAATTATACATGATTGGGTTATTTACAAATTTTAGTGAGCTAATTAAATTAATATTTCTGTGTTTTCCAATTCTTTGTTGCACAAATTAAAGCAGTTTATTAGCAAAAAAGTTATTTTTCTCCCCCAAATCTTTTAAGATGAGTATTAATACACCTTCTGTGTCAATAAGAGTAGCATTACCTTTGCCGAATTTTTACTAATTCAACTTTTATTGGTTGTAGCAAAAATTGTTATTGAATTCATTATCACATAATTTGAAAATATTGAGAATTTCTTTAATATCGATAATTGCTTTTAAAATACATGTTTTATCTTTGAGAAATCCTTCTGGCATTGTAACAACACTTTTTCACCTTGTTTTACATCAAAGCTTTTGTTCTTTATGAAACATACATTTTATGTTTATTTGTTGATTTTTTAATGTTGATTTCATTTTCAAGATATTTTACACTATTTTGTAAATTATGTGTAAATAATATAAACTAATGTTTGTTGAACTTTATGAATTGTCATGTCCAAAATATTTCTTAAGTGTTTGACTGAATCTTCTTTTCCTGTTTGCTGGAAAATGGTATCTGTGGTTCCATTTTTTAAAAACTCTGGAGAACACTTTGACCCTTTAACTATCGCTCGATCAGTATTCGCTCTATTATTAGCAAGTTCTTAGAGTGTTTAATCAACAAATTTCTGTCGCATCTTAAGTCTAATAAATTACTCTCTGACAATCAATACAGTTTTTGATCTTTTTGTTCTATTTGCATCCTTTTACTGTATCATGCTCTTAAAACTTTTATTCATCTAGTTTTTTTCCAACACTTTAATGCTTCGGAACTCTTTTCTATCTTCATGTTTAATTGACTCATGCAACCATCAATTTTTCAAACCATCTGTTAATCATTTTCTTACTTTTTAACACTATTTTTTGTTTTCTAGTAACTCCCAATTTAATAGTGCTTGCTTGCAACCTTGTTGGTCGTGAATTAGTATATAAAAAATAGTAATAATAAATACTAAACCAACAAAACAAATATGTTAAAAATAATTGTAACAGTTTAAACATTTTTAGTTACAGTTATTTTAATTCAAAAAGTTTTAACTTTTCAATTATTTGAAATTATACCAAACAAAACATGAAGCTTTCATAGTTTAAAATCAAGAAATGTTTTTTACTTTTATTTTCTAATAACAAGATAAAAAAGTCATTGCATTTTCTTAAATTTTGAAAAAATAACACTTTTAATAATCCATCATGTTATTTAAGATATTAGCCATACCCTGAGATATCCTGCTGTCCCTTACACCTCTTTGATTCCAGGAAAATAATTCCTTTTGATAAACCCTAGCACCTAATATAGCTAGATGTCCTGATGATGTTGATGATGTTTTAACAAAAGAAATGACATTCATTTTTGGTACCCAGCAGTTATCATCCCAGTTTGGCTTGTACTTTCAATTGATTAATACAGTCAGAGGTCAAAACTTTAGATCGGATTTAATATACAGAAGATGGGAGGGATAAAAGGGTGGAAATATTTTCTTAAACCTAATTTCAACTTATTGTCAGTCTATAAATACCTTGTAATTCCAAGTTAATACTTTTTACAGAATGTGCATAAAACAATTTAATTTTCAATAAATCAAGATTTACAATATTTTTTTTTATAGGTTGATAATGACAATTTTTAAAACCTGATTAAAAGTTTTATTTTGATCAGTGACTGATCAAAATAATAACTGAAAAATGAGGTCAGCAATTTATTATTTATTACCTCAAGCTGTTAGAGGTCAGCAAAAAAAATTTGACAGAGTGTTTACCATAAAACATAAAAATGGGATTGGCAATTTTTTGCCGACTTTAAACACTTTTAGGTCGGCAATCAGGTCGACATTGACAAATGCTGTCACTGATTCCGAGGTTTGATATATATATATATATATATATATATATATATATATATATATATATATATATATATATATATATATATATAATATGTATATATACATAATATGTATATATATAATATATGTTCTTAATTTTAAAGACGGCTTACACTTATTTTTTTACTTTTGAGATTTTTTTTGTTGATAACAAAATAAAAATTAATAAGCAGGGGGGTCATAAGCTTGGGGTGGGTGGAAAAATTTTCTGAAAAATAATAAATGTCCCTTCCCATGTATTAAGTACGTGAGAGTAGTACGACTGACTTAGATAATGTGGATGCTTAAAATTTACAATCAAATCAACAATCTCATTATAAATATTAGAAAACATACCAAGCCAGTAAAGTTCGTTATATTCAAAAAAGTTTGGTATTGAGATATAATATTATCAATCTGAGCAATTCTATATTTTTGTTTATTGAGGAAGTCAAAGGTTAGAGCAAAATCATCATCATTAAAAACCTTTTTTATCTTTATTATTAAAAGAGATAACAGTGTTAATTGATGGAAACTTTTTTTTCTAGTAACAGTGGTTGCTCTAAATATATTGCTACTTATCAGCAAGTTTGTTTTGTACAATTGCAATTTTACAAAAGCAAATTTCATCAATAGTGATGTAGCCAAACATGATCTTACTAATTGACTTTAGACAATATTAGGAAATTGTTTAAGGAGACAATATTTGTCTCTAATTTCTCTTTCATGTAATGGTTAATTTGCATGAAGGGTACACTGCTTCTTGCACCAATTGTTACTCTGTATCTTCTCTTATACTGCAAAAGTGTAATTAATTTCAATACTTGACTCCAAAAATGCCTCATTAAGAATAATTGTCTTTTTACAATGCTTTGGTTAGCTTGATTGTGGTTTTGCAATAAACAAGAAGTAATATCAACAAGGTTTTCACACAGAAGCTCTATAAATTAATTTAATGGAAGCTGTGTTGTTAATAATTCTATCTGTTATCCACTGTTTGAAATTCACTGTATTCTATATTGCTTTTCTGGATAATTATTTTGTGAAAGATACTGCTGTAAAAAATTTGGGGTAGCTTGTATGTCAGGACAGCTGTGAATCATGAACTTTTGGTTCTCTGATAATCATTTCAATGATTTGATGATAATGCATTTTAAGGCCTATAGTACTCAATATCAATTTCACTTTTTGGTGTATTGTACATACACAAACAGAATGTGTACCTTTTGGACCAGTAAGAATGCATCATTTAAACTAATGACTGCAAAATTTAAAAAATCTGATTTTATGATTTAGGTGTTTTAACTTGTATGCTGCATAGAGTTCCTTTTTTAAATATAATAAATTTTTTTGACATGCATTAATTTTTTTCAATAATAACATACTTTATCACAACTCATCATCACAAATGATCTCATCATCATAAGAAAAAAAAACTAATGTTGTTTAACCACATCTGGGTATTTCATGATGCCTTTTTTGTTGTATAACAACATTGAAAACTGAAAACTCTTTTGCTTTTTTCTGATCAAGATTTTAAAGTAAAAGTTTAAGCCTTCCATTATAAACTTCAAGTTTTTTTTTTCAATGCATTCAATGAGAAAAGTCTACATTCTTCTGCTTTAGTTTGAATCTTTTTTTGAACTTTAATGTTGTTTGGCTCAGCAAGATCAAATTTAGAGACATCCAGGACTGTTGCAAGTTTCTTAATAACTGCTTCTTCAACTTGCTTTATCTCTTTCTATCAAAGTGAAGGATTGCTAGAGGCTTTGCAAAGATTTACTTTTTTTAGACAAAATTTTATTTAATATTTAAATAAAATTTTTTCAAAAGGTGGCATTGTTTTGGAAGCTGAGAGGTCAAGGTTTAAACCCATATAACTCTATGTATATAATCTTTCTTGTGTTTACCTGCATAAATTAGATTTATCTGCATTTAAATAATTCATAATATAGTTTATTGACATTTTTTTAAAATTATTGATTAAATTTTTTAATTGGTTTTTATTAATAAATATTACTAGCATCAGTAAAAATATGTTAAAAAGGTTTGCGATTAAAAACATGATTAAGATATCAAGTTGACATTGTCAACTCTATATGTTGTTTTTATTATAAGATTTTTAACAGCATATAAAATATATTTATTAATTATTTTCTTTAAACATTATATTTTTAATACAGACATCAATGAATGTCAATCTGCAATTCGACCATGCTCTAGGCATGCTATATGTACAAATATATTGGGAAGTTACAGCTGTTCATGCAAAGATGGCTTTTCAGGAGATGGGTATACTTGCAGAGGTAAAATTTTTTTAGAAACATTTTATAGATCTTATACTTAGTTATAAAAATGTTCATTAAATGTGTTTATTGAAATTATTTCAGATATTGATGAATGTATGAATATAAATGAATGTGGTTCAATGTCTCATGCAAAATGTGTTAACATTGAAGGCAGTTACACATGTGTTTGTGATGATGGTTATGAAAATAAAAATGGTTACTGCAGTGGTAAGCAGAAATTAGTACACTAAAAAGATGGCCTGTATTTTTTTTTTATAAAAACTGCTATTATGTGGTAGGATTTTTTTTAAATCTTATCAGAAAAAAATTAAATTTTTATGATTTAAGATTAAGTATAGAATTGAGAATTCTACACTTAAGGCTCAATTTTAAAATTCTACAATTAATTTTTTTCAAAATTATTTACATACAGTTATAGCTTTAAAAATTATTTACATAAAGTTATAGCTTTAAAATTTGAATTTTTTAAAAAAGGTTTTTTGTATAGCACATTTTATTATGCAACATTAAATATAGCAGATTTAGAATGATAATAATATAACTATGATATTTTTCGCATTTTTATTTGAATGCATTTTTAAATGAATATTTTAATATTTATAAGTGCAAGAACACTTTCTAATCATCTTTAACAGTTGTCAGTAGTGAAAGCTAGCAATCATAGGGTTAGAGCACTTGCAAGGTTGGATGTCTGCTCTGACCATATATGCAACATTGTAAGACAGCACAAACTTCCTAGTTAAATACACAGTGTTGCAGAGTTCTTTGTTAGATGACTTCTTGAAACTCTTTAATAACCAAAAAACATTTTATAATCTCAAAAGACTCATTTTCCAAAAAAGTCACCAACTTTTTTACATTTTTTTTTTGTATTACACCTTTTTGTGATATATTTCTTTGAGATGATTTAGCTCTGACCATTTGTTGCAAAACTCTAGGCATCAACAATCTTTTAAAGAATATTAGTAACCAACCTAGTGACTAGCTTGTGACTAGCTGGATAGATCTAGTCTTTATGGCCATTTATAGACATTTTTTAGACTGTAATGTCATGATTTATTTTAAAGTGAATCCAGTGAATTTTTCATTGACTATATGTTCATTTCATTGATAATATGTTCGACAAAAAATAATTTAACTTAATAATTTAACTTTTTTTTTCCAGTTAATTGTTATCCAAACCCATAAAATATTTTTGCACTAAATAAGTTTAAATAATGTTTACTTAAGAATTGCTGTTGATTTGGTTGCAATTAGTTTGAAATTTTATAAAAATATTTTAGCCATTGATTATTGTCAATATATTGTAAGTTGTCAAGAACCTGATAGCCTGGAAGTATGTGCATCGCGAGATAATATGTGTCATAGAGAATGCCGTAATCCTCAGATGAACATTAAACATGGTTGCTTACGTAAGCAGTTTTAAAACAATAAAAATTTAATTTTTTTGTATGGATAAAGTTTAAAAATTGAAACCTATTTTATGTTTTTAGCAACATCTGAATTTTCACAAATTTTGCTTAAAAGAAAAAGAAGAAATGCCCCCATGCAAGGTAATTGTTCAAGTTAAAATTATGACCTGTATACACTTTTAATCTTTCAAAGACAGGTTATGGAATATTGTGCAAAGATATTATAAAAGGATCTAAGTATTTAACAAATATACTGTGTTGTTATGAAAAGTAATAGAAAGTTATTTCAATTAGAAAATTTAATTATGAAGTAAAGTAAAAGTATGTTCTGTAGGCAATACAAAGCTAAAAGTATTTTACATATTTTGAAGTAAGGGGTTGTCCATAAAGTACGATGGCAAAAATTTCAAAAAATTGACCTCCCCTCCTCTGGTTGCCATGCGTACTTTTTAGTTCCCTCCCCCTTTTAAAACTACGTATGCTTTTGAAACCCCCCTCCTTCTCTTTTCTTTTAATGAGTTAAAAAGTTAAAATTTATATAAAAAAGCATTTTTTAAGTAATTTAAATATTAGGGATCGTCCATAAAGTAAAAGTATTAAATCATCAAGAAGTGTTGATATTCTTTATATTTCAAAACGTTCCATTTCATTAAAACAATTGCTCAACACTTTCATTAAAACAATGCTCAAAAACAAATAAAGTTTAAAAAGAATTTCGCAATTTCTTCATATTTCAATTTTTAATTACTTTGTGCAACAACAGTGTTACTAAGAGTAACAAGTTTAAAAGCTAAAGTTTTCAAGTATTGTTAAGCTTTAAATATTAATTTTTGAAACTGTTCTGTTAATAATATCTTTTATAATTTTTTTAACTTTATCTTGTAAAAAATGTTTTTTAATAAAAATAAGATACTATAAATTATTTCAAAACTAAACAAACAAGTAGCAAAAGCCACAAAAAAGTAGACAGAAGCAACAGAAAGAAGCTTATAAATTGTGGTATAAAGTTAAGCATAAAGAATTGACATATGAATCAATTTTAAAATCACACAAAAAATAATGGAGAATAAAAGTCAGTTAATGTCTTTTTGGTCTAATGTTAAAACATCACATAATCAATCTATTGCGGAGAAGCTGCCTCTCACAAACGAAATATCAGATGAGGGATCACAAGTTTTTTTAACATCCGATGAAGCAGACAAAATAGATTTTGAAATCAATAAAACATTAGCTACTTCTTCTAAATTTGATGTTCAAAAAAATTCAAAAATCACAAACGGAACTACCAATTAATCAGCCGACTAAATCTCATACTCCATAACAAGAGAAAATTCAAACTGAAATTTTGCAGTTACAAGAGCAGTTGTTAACATTGATAAATTTGCGCTGTGTTGGAATGATAACAGACGAAATTAAATTCAAATCGTTTTTTTAGAAAAGCAAATAAAAATAAAACAAACCCGTCTTAAAAAAATGAAATGCAAAGAAGTCTGTCAAAGACAACGCAGAGCAAGTTTGAAACGAATACTTAATGATATTGTTGATGACACACCCTATTAAAAATCAAAACTTTCTAAATTCAATAGAGAAAAAAATGGTAGACCAGCTGTAATTGAAGATCAGCCAGATCTTCTTAATGCCATTGTTAACATTGCATCAATAGGAACAGCTGCTAGTGATCGACGAAGATCGCAGGAGTTACGTTCATGTAAAACGCTTGATGACTTAAAAGTTTACTAAAACTGGGTTATTGTTTATAACGATCTGCAACTTATTCAAGACTGATACCTAAGCGATCAAAAACACTTGAGGGAATACGTCATATTAAGACAGTTTCTGTGAAATTGATTAGGACTGCTAATACAGCTCGTGATGAGCATATCGATACTGGATTTACATTTGCATGCATGTAATACATGGATGAAATTTGTATTACATGCACACAAAATCAACGTTTTTCACCAGGTCCAGTTGTAATGTCTCATGCTGCTGAAGGAATTTTTATTCCTGAGCCAAATGTAGCACAAAATATTCCTAAACCTTACTTTTCTTCTTTAGCGCAGCGCTTGAGATATATAGGTTCAAAAATTTCGATGGATGCTTCCTTTGATTTGTACTGCCCATCAATTTCACAACAAAAAATTGATCAAAGAACTTGCAAAACCTGCAAAATTTATCACGCTTCTAAAGCAAGTGTTAGGCGTCACAAACGCGTGTTTAGGAACATAATCAACACTACATCTGAGGAAAATAAAAATGACAATGAAAACAATGATACTCATTTAAAAGTAAATGAAAGTAATTCTAATCAAATTCATGTCATCGAAAACATATTTGATTGGGTGAAATTACCCATTGATTTAGATCACTAACAATTTAAAATAGTTGAATAATGAAGACTGTATTAATATTTTTGTTTATAAAATATTCAAACGGTGTTTTGAAACCTAAAAAGAGAACAGTTTTTGTTTTTTTTTAATTTGTGATTGTTTAAAAAAATTTCATCACCCTGACCTAACCACAACCTATACTTTAAAGGTACCAAACAATCATTTTTGTCAGTTTGTTGATTTTAAAAGTTTTCTGTTTGTCAGCAAAAGTGTTATACTATACAAATACTATAATGGGTACTGCTCTAAAAAGCTAGTGTCTCTTGTGCCATCTACTAAAATTCATTCTCATGTTACTCGTCATTCAATTAAGTCTGATCCTTTTTCTGTTACTGTTGCTAGAGCTCCAAAAACCTTTTCTCGAACATAAATTATTTAGAATCCGCTTCCTTCATCTTGCTTTTCTGATTTATATAATTTGCAATCTTTTAATTTTGCTCTACAATCTTCATCTTTTCTCTTCCAGTAACTTCCAACACTAGTTTGTGATTGCTTGCAGCCTTGTTGGAAGCGAAGATGTTTAAATAAAAAATAGCAAAATGTTTAAAGATCAACTGCACAAATCTTTCAACAAGTCTTTTTTGTTTTATTTTTTGTAAATGATCTTTTAAATAACTGCAAAATAATATACTTCACTTTCACCTTGATGTTCAGAGTTGAAAATTTTTAAACACTAAATTAATTGCTTGCATTTTTTAGCTGAAATACTTTTCAAAAATTTATAATTTCCAGTTTTCTCAAGCTTCTCAAAAAAATTACCCTAGATAAGATGATGCAATTTTTTTGTGACATTTTTTATATTCAAGAAATAAAAACTATGCTCTCATACACAAAGAATTTTCGTATTTATTTGAGCACAAATGTGTTTTCCTCGTGGTAATTATTCTCCTACTTTAATTGCGATACAACAACATAGGTGGAGGTGTAAAAAAAAAGGTGGAGTAAAAGAAAAAAAGGTGGAGCTTTAATAAACATAGGTGGAGTAAAAAACTGTAACATTAACATTTTGAAAGAAAATTTCTAGGCTGGAGCCAAAACAACTGTTTTGACTATCGCAAGCAAATTGTTTTGAAAATCGCCAGAAAATCCAAAAACTGTGCATTTCATTAAAACTTTCCCTATTTCTAAATAACTAATAAACGTAACCAAGCATGTGAGGTGTTTATTTTTACATTTATTAAACGCTTTAAACGTGCCTGCCCGTTTAATTGCAACAAAAAACCAACAACATTTTTACTAAGCCCATTAAAACTTATTACGTTTTTATTGTTAAATTCAAGTCTTTTTTACTAATTTACTCCTTTAGTAAAAAGAACTTTAAACTTAAAAATTGTAATTTTTTTTTTTTTAAGGACAAGCATTTTTCTTTCTCTTCACAACTGTTATTTCATAGTGACAGTCATGGTTTTATTATTTAAAAACAATTATTTATTTATTATTATATTTAAAAATATCTAGTTATTAATTAAAAAACATCAAGTTATAGTTTTTGTTAGTGTATTTGTTAGTGGTTATAATTTATTTAGTTTTTTACAAGTATTTGTTAGTAGTAATAACTTAGAAAAACAAGCATTAGCAACTAAGCAGAATTACTTTTTTAAATTAGTGCGTACGCACTAAGACCTCCCCCCTTCCCCCTATGAGTGTACTTTAATGATGACCCCTAAGAAATACAATGAAACAACTTAAACCAGTCTACTCCGTTAAGCCAGCGCTTTCGTGCTTGCCCACACGCCTGCAAATACTTTGGAAAGCGCATAAAAAAGTGCTTGCCAAAAAAATAAAAGCGTTTTATTTTAAATTACATTAAAACTTTTTTGTTCATTTGTTTAACTTTTATGAAAAAAAGCTTTTTTTTTACCAGTATTTTTTTGATTATTTTAACTAGTATTTATTCAAAGCATTATTTTAGCTATTTTTATTTTAATTTAAATTACAGGAAAAAAAAATTTTTTAAATCGCGCAGGCTAACTTAAAAATGACCATCCTGCCAGCACTTTTTTTGTGTACTGACATTAAATTTCAAACAGAGAAGACTGTTAAAGCATTTTAAAATAAACACAACACCTAAAATTTAAACATTTATTGTTTTACTATAGTTTTATTATTGTATTACTTTATTTATAGCAAATTACAAAAGTTTAAGTAGAATAGCAAGTTGAAAAAGTTCTCAGTTTTAATTGTTTATTTAGATTTATTACTGTAAATAAAATCCATTGTCAAATGTACTTAATTATTAAAATAAAAAATGAATTTTTTGTCAAACTTATAAGCTACGGCAACTAGATGACAAATAAAATGGCAAATAAAAGACAAATAAAGAACAATTAGAAATTTAAGGAACAAAAATAATTTAAAAAATAAAAATTCTGAGCATAACAAATTAAAATTTATTAGTTTTAGTGATAAAATCATTTACTTCAATGTTTAATATTCTTGTTGTTGGGACATTATTAATATGATTAAATTGGACAATGGTACACAACAGATATTATATCTTCATGGCCCAATGAAGTTTTGAGGTAAACAATGAGAGTACATAAATATTATTTTGCAGTATCAATTTCTGAAATCATGCCTTCCCACCAAACAGAATTGTGTTTAAATACAACAAAATACTTTAGATTTAACGCAACATTAATTACTTCTGCTTTTGACAGTTTGAATTACTGCACAGTGATGCTCGCTTGTTTTTTGAAACTAATTTCAAACTTAGAAATAGGTATCTAATAGTGATAACTTATAGTCTCTTGAACCTTTTTTATGCATACCTAATATTTCATATAATTTTTGTTGACTTGCTATTACTGTTATTTTTGTAATTTTATAAACTTTGTTTATATTGTTTTTACAAAAATAAACATATAGTTAACTGTCAATTCTTGGTTTTCTAATAATCTTTGTAAACTTGCTCTTGCTGGTGTCCTTTTCTGGTATTACCTAAACCATCACAAGGGGATTTCCCATATCTGGTTGCAAAAAATACTTATTTAGCTGTGATCCTTTAAGGTGGCATAAATTTAGAAAGTTTTATATTTTTTATAATGAACAGAACATCCATCAGAAAAATAATAAATTTTATTGACATCCACTAAATATTTTTTTAAAAATAAAGAATGACTTCTGCTGAATATTTGTTTTAGAAACTTCTCTAAAACATGTTACAACTGGATGTACATTGTTGTTTACTCCAATAGTAACTATGTTTTTTGTTTCTAGTTTTTAAAACAGGATGAAATCCTGTATTAAAAGAAGTCAGGCCCATCATAGGTTAATTGATTTAGAAATAATTTTAATACTTTTGAAAATCTGTAGTATAATACATTCATTGTAACTTAAATTATTTTTAAACTCTTTCAAATTGTGAGTTTGGCATTTAGAAAAATGATTAAGTTAAGAAATATGTGGGAAGGTTTTTATTTAAACTTTGTTCAACTACTCCTAATATTCAAATAGCTGCCTGAGTAATTATATGAGATCTATCAATACTTTTCTATTGATTAAATTAAATTTCTTCTTTCAAACTGAAAAATTTAACTTAATGACTTTCATTTTTTTAACTTTTAAGCTTTTGTTAAAAGTTTATAGAGAGGTGTATTTATGCACAGGTATTTATGTATTTGCCAGGGGCCTGACTTATGAAGAGTTCTAAAATTCTTTATTTTTACACTTTTTTTGATCATATTTAATTTGACTACACACAGAAAAACATTGAAAAATTTTTTTTCCTAATAAGTAGTTTATATTTAAGTAAATTGATCTCATAGATTAATTATTTTAGAAACACTATAGGATAAATAATTGATCTCATAGGTTAATTGTTTTAGAAACACTATGGGATAAATAATTGATCTCATAGGTTAATTGATTTAGAAATTTATTGGATAAATAATTTTATACATTTGAATAATTATCATAGAAAATAAAATTTGATTCACTATATGAGTTTACCTCTAAAATCATTAATGTGTTCAATGATGTGTATTTGTCGTCTAGATAAAATAATCAATAAAATTCTCAACAACAAGTCTTCTTGCTATTAACAATACAAACAAGCATGTTTATATTAACATATAATATAATGTATAGTAGTATAATATAACATATAATAATGTTAATATAAACCAACATGTTTATATTGATGTATGTTTATATTAACAATAAACTACAGGAGTAAATATTGCATTCAATTTACAGTAAGTCTGCATTCAAAAAATTTTGTCTTCCTTTATTTTGTAAAGACTTCAATAGTCACATCTTGGCCTGGGCATTTACATTTGTAAGAATTCACTCGTTTGTTGGGAAACTAGATTTGAATCCACAGACTATTCTTTTATGTGCTTTCGTTTAGCACCTTTCTGATTGGTCTATATTGCTCTCCTTCATCTCAAGACAGCACTCTTTTTGATGTTATTTCTGACCAAATTGACCAAGCGCTTTCTCTTTATCCTTTATCATTATCAAATATTCAACTTTTCAACTCGCTTTCCAGACAATCTGAATCATTTATCTTCACTACTCGACTTATATCTTGTTTATGATTCTAGTCAGTACTTAGTTTCTCCACATTCACGCTTAGGAGCTTCTGATCATGGTTTGATTTCTTTAAAACTATTATCTTCATCTTCTTCATCATCAGAATCCCCGTATCATTATACCTCTTGCAACTACCTTAAAGCTAACTGGGACTCTAAGAATCAAGAAATGAGATTACTGAAATGTTTTTAGCAAACAATTCAGCTTTGTGTTTAGGTGAGGTAATAAAATCTGAACCATGCAAGAGAGGTGGAATAACAGATTTGCCCTTATTATAGGGACTGTTAAAGATTTTCTAGAAGTCTCTGGAACCTTATTTCTGTAATGTTTCTTTATTTTTGAGCCATATCACTAATCACATCCTACCTGATATATCCAAAAAACAGATTAATCATTAGCTTGATGTTTGTATCACTCCAGCTTCTGTATCTAAAATGATTTCCTGCTTAGACTCTTCTACAGCTTGCGGCCCGGACAACATACCTGTTATAGTCTTGCAGAAGTGTTCTCCGAAGCTATCATCTATACTATTAAAACTATTTAACAATTACTTATTAGAGTCTTGTTTTCCAGCCTGTTGGAAAGTGGCATCTGTTATCCTTTAATTCTTAATTCTTAAGAGTGATCTGATTCATCTGTCTTTTTCCTATCATAAGCAAGGTTTTTGAATCTTTAATTAACAAACACTTATCTCTCATCTTGAACCTATTAATTTGCATTCTGATCAATAATATGGATTATCTCTCATCTTGAACCTATTAATTTGCATTCTGATCAACAATATGGATTTCGACCTTCTCATTCTACTGTTGATTTGTTAACGGTAATAGCGGATAGTTTTTATCATGAATTAGATAGATGTGGAGAGGTTAAGGCTATTGCTTTTGACATTTCTAAAGCTTTTGATAAAGTTTGGCATTCTGTTCTTCTCCATAAGCTCGCTTTTTATGGTTTATCAGGTAACATCTTTAAGATTATTGAATCCTTTCTCGCCAATTTTAGTATAAAAGATTCCTTCGATGTACAGCATTCTTCTTTATTTCCTGTATACTCTTTTTAATTTACATTAACAATCTCCCAGAAATTCTCACATCTAAGGTGGCATTGTTTGCTGATGATACTACCATTTATTCTTGTCTTGATAAGAAGCCAACACTTTCTGATTGCTTGGAGGGAGTATTTAAACTTGAAAAGGATCTCACTTCTGCTACAGCATGGGGCTCTCAGTGGCTGGTGACCTTTAACTCAGATAAAACTCAATTTTTTTCAGATAATTGTTATCAAAACAATGTGGATCTTTCTATATTTATGAACAGTAATTTACTCGATGAGTCATCTACCCTTTGTCTTCTAAGATTAATTCTTACATCTGATCTTTTTTAGAAAGCATATATCAAATCCACTGCAAAACTAATATGCTAAGGTTGCGTCTCTTTATCGTGCTTGCCACTTTCTTACTCCAAGTTTTATTCTTTATCTCTATAAATCTTAAATCCGTCGTTGTATGGAATACGGTTGCCATATCAGGATTCAATCTTCAAATTATACCCTTTCTCTTTTAAACAAGGTGTAAAAATGGGTTGTAATCATAGTTGGACCTGCTCTTGCCGACAACCTTCAACAATTATCACATCATTATAATATTACTTCTCTTTCTCTTTCTTATAAATACTATAGTTGAGCAGCCATGGCGGAGTATTTGCGCATATGCTTCAGAAACAACAAACCCCACCTCTGGCCAAGTTTTACGACATTGGTTAGGTAGAAGGCACTCAACATTACATCATTTTATTTATTTGTTTATGTAACATTTTCAATTCAGCATTTGAAAATGAACCATGTTTTCTATTATGGCACATTTCTTTACACAATTTAATAATTTAACTGTTTTTTCCATTGTAATGATGTTTATAATAATTGAAATGATATTTCATTTTTTTTAAAGTTTGGCAAAATGTTGGGTTTTGCTCTACAATATGTGGAGATAGTGGTCAGCAGTTGCAATCTCAAACAATTAATAACATAACTAGTTACAGAAATGTGTCATGCAACATATTCCCATGTGGAAACTGTATGTATATCTTGTGTAATAATGATTATTATTAATGTAATATGATTGTTTTAATGATTATTTTAATGATTATTTGTTTTTATGATTATTTGTTTTTAGTTTCAAAAAGTACTATGATGATTTAAAAACAAGTTACAAAATTATTTTTAATAAAAATCCCACTTTTATTTTTTATATGTACCTATATAAATTTTTTACTACAAACTAATAAGGAGAGTGGGGCATTGTGAGCAATCATTATTATATATTTTATTGCCTAATTTTTTTTTAATGTAAAATTTACATTTCATTATTATTTTGTATCATTAGGTTATAAAAAACTTTGTATTAACTTTTTTTTTACTATTTTTTATGATTTTTAACTTCAGTCAAAAATCCAGTTTCCTACTAAAGAAGCATCTTTCTACTTCTTTATAATATACGTGGCCAACGGCATTAATATTTTAAAACCTAATTCTAACATCTAACATCACTCAATTTCACTTTAACAAACTCAATTTTATCTTAAATTGCTTATATGTCAGTTAACTCACACGCTGCACCATCAAAAAGACGTTCTTTTAGAGCAGCAAACCAGCCTTATCAACATTAAAACAATTTTGACCTCAAAAGAATCGCAAATAAAAAAGTCTTTTTCTTAACAAAAATTTGTTGGTTTTCAGTAATTTTTTTGCTACTTAATTTGTTGAATTCAAACTAGCTGATGCAAATCTACCGAGTTAATTATTTATTATGCATGTTAAATTATAATTTAATTTCGCTCTCAACTGTTTAATCTCTGATGGTAATAACATTTATAAATGTTTGAAATGGTACAATATGCATAAAATTGTTTTCTGCTCAACCTACCAAATTAACTTAATTTAGCCCACAGAATAAATATATTGTCGCCCAATGCATTTAATCTCGGGTGAGCAAGAATAGATGCAGCATAATATATTAAGACTTACGCTACCAGCAGTTTTAAGAAAAAAAACCTTTAACCGTGACCCCCATTATTTTTTCATTAAATTGGAATGACATATTTAAAAAATAATTGAAAAACAAAATCATAAAATTTCGTAAGGATACATATTATGAGCATAATCTTTTTGAATACTTACAAAGGAGTATTTTTTATGTAGTTTTATTTTATAAATTATTAAGTTAACTATTAATTAATTACTCTTAATTCAACATCCTCGGCATTATCGTAAAAATGAACTCCAAACTTACTTGATAATTGCTTTGACAAAAATTGATGATATTTACTTTAATTTTTTTTTGGTTACTTTCAAAACAATACTCTTTCTCTGTGTATTGTTATAAAAGAAATTAATTAAAAAATAAATTGCTATGGCTCTGCGTTGAGTAATTGTATAAAAAGCTCATGTTCATCAAAACCAAATAAATTAGTTAGATAAAGAACAAAGAAAGTATCGCAAATATACTTTGTCTGCTATTGCATTTTCTTTTTCTGATAATTATTGGTAAGAAAGAATTTGGAATTTTATCTTTTTATGCTATGTTTTTTTTTTAGAAATAATTTTTTAGTGTTTAGAAATTTTGTTTTCGATTGTTTTATTTATTTTCAATTTAAGAACTAATGTTTTAGTTATTAAAATAACTAAAACATTAGGTCCAAAACATTAGGTTCAAAAGGTCCAAAACTCATTTTATGCATAACAAGAATGTTTTTATTCTTCTTTAATAGACTTTTGTAATTACTTAGTTAAATGCTTATTTGCTTCATAGTAAATTAAGTACTGTGAAGTTCTAGGGTTGGGATTAGGTTACAAATACTAACATATGGTTTTCACCACATGTTAATATTTTTAGTTCTTGTAAATTTGGAGCACTTTATTAAATTAATATTATATTCATACTGCAATTTAATTTATCTAGGTATTGTCTTGAAAAAAAACATGGTTAAAACAAGAGGTGGGGGATGTAGATTATCACTAAGGTTTCAGCGGATGTCATTTGGAAAGATTGCTTCTGTAGCGGGAGGCTACAATATGTTATAATACAACTCATCTTCATGATGGTAAAACTCCTTCAACATCTGGTAGTAGTACTCTTGACATTTGTCAAATGGAACAGCCACCAACCATTAATGTGTCAATGGTTCCAATCATTCCATTGATCAATCAACCATTGTTAAGAAACGGGGCAAATTTCTGAAATGGAGTAAAGAAAATATGATGAGTGCAATTAAGCATGTCAGATCAAAGCCATCATTTTCAGTGCGTAAGACAGCAATATTAAACAATGTGCCACGTACAACACTGAGAGACAGACTTTCTGGAAAAGTTGTTATTGGGGCAAAGCCAGGAAGAAAACCTCCCCTACCTTTTGCTCTGGAAGAAAAATTTATTGATTATGCCAGCAATAGAGCAAAGTTAGGGGTAGGTTTTGGAAAGTCACAGTTCCTGAATTATGTTGGGAAACTTGCAGCAAAACATTGCGCATATGCTTCAGAAACAACAAACCCCACCTCTGGCCAAGTTTTACGACATTGGTTAGGTAGGAGGCACTCAACATTACATCATTTTATTTATTTGTTTATGTAACATTTTCAATTCAGCATTTAATTCTACTTTAAGAAAGAACTTCCAAACAACCATTTGTGGACTAGGGTTAAATATTGGCATGGGCATAAATTTAGTCTGTGACAACCTGAGGGTACAGCTTCAGTTCGACATCAGTGTATGGATAAAGATAAAGTGTCAAAGTACTTTAGTTCTTTGAATGACATCATGGTGAAAAATGGTTTTCACGTTTAACCAGAATCCATATGGAATATGGATGAAACTGGTCTACAACTTGACGTAAAACCAAGAAAAATGGTTGCACCAAAAAGCACAAAAAAACTTCCATAGTCAAACAAGTGGAAATTGAGAGTCAATCACTGTTATTACATATGTGAATGCACAGGGCAAGTTCATTCCACCCCAGGTTATAGTAAAGGGAAAGGCATCCAGATCTTTATGGGGTTTTAACACTGAGTTTATGCCCCCGAGAACAAATTGGAGCTGGTCTGATAGTGGTTTAAACAGTGGATTAAACAGGACCTAGCAAAACTATGGTTTACCAAAACATTTTTAGAAACCATTGGTCCACAATGTCCTCATATATTGATTCTGGATGGGCATGATTCTCACAACTTTATTGAGCTAATTGATATTGCTATAAAAACATGATACATATAGTTGAAATGCCTTCACACATATCAAACTGGCTTCAACCATGCGACCGCACCTTATTCATACTACTGAAGGATTATTATTACTCTACAGCACAAGATCTGATGGGTCAGTTTCCAGGAATTTTAGAGCATGCAGGGATAGATACAGTAAACGAATGAGACTTAGCTGAATGACCAGTAAAACGAGAATGAATTTTAGTTGATGAATTATTACTTGTCTGAATGAATTATTACTTGTCGTTCAAATTTTGGAGGGATATTTGCTTCAGCTTGGGAAAAAGCAATCACTCCTAGCAACATTACATCTGGGTTCAAGTCGTGTGGAATTTATCCTTTTAATCCTCAGGCTATTCCTAGTGATGCATATTTACCAAACTATATACACAAAGCTGAGGATATATCAGTTAATACAGCTGAAAATAATTGTTCTTCGGTTAGTATTGTACTACCGTGTTTTTGCTAATACTACTATACAATAAAAATTATTATTTAAACTTTAGCTAGCAACTGTGACTAATATTTTATGTACAAATTGATAAAAATTCTGAATGAAGCATAAAGTTTACTAACTTGCATTTCAATAGTATTATTTAATATTTTTTTAGGAATTCTAATCATTAATTGTTCAAGAAATTAATTCTTCAGACGTTGTTGCTTCTATAGATGCTGGAAAAGTTGCTAATTATCTAGAACAATTACAAAATGGCACTGAAGAAGATAATACAACTCACAGTTCGTTACAAAGCAACTGTTGTTCACAATAATCAGCTTGCATATTTAGTCAGTTCAGTTGAAGAAAAAATGTTGACTGCATTGTGAATAGTATTACCAATCTTACTTAGCAAAAAAAAGAAAAGAAATCTTAAAAAACGTAAAAATTAAAGTTTGAACCATCAAACTTTAATTTTACTACAGTTTCAGATTTTCAGTTTGCAAACTCTTCCTATCCTGATAAGTCAATCATTTTACAGTTTTTTTTCATTTCATTTGATCAAGTGATCAATAGTTGCATAGCAACAATGCAACTTTTAATAAATTTTTAGTTTTAAAATAATTAAAATTATTTAAATACTTGTTCTTTTATTGAGTATATATGTTTTTATCAATGCAGGTGATGGAGATGATGATGTCTTAGCATACCCTAAGGCCACCACACGAAAAAAGATGGCAAACAGAAAAGGTCAGCTTAAATACTTTGCTTTAACTTTTCGAGAAGCAAACTCAGCAAAGCTGAAATATCACCAAGACAAAATCCAACAAGAAAGAGAAAAATGCGAAATAAAACAACTGCGATTTATTAATACTGCTAAGCGACTCAAAGAAAAAGATGAAAAAAAGGTATTGGCTAAGAAAAAAAAATTAGACAATTATGTCAACAAGTCTTTGGCAACAACAAAAAAGAAGTTCATTTCATTATCATCTGAATTGCAACCATTGGTTGATCCCGAGAACAATACTGACTAATATGTACTAAATATTTGACAATATTTTTTATATAACTAAAAATGCACACAATTTCGTCTTATCTATATAAATTTTTTTATCATTTTAATTTAAGAATACTCTAATGGTCTTACTTGTGATAAGACCTAGTGGTCTTATCACTAAGCACCGCCACAAGGGCTTAACCATTTAATGAGTTGGTTTCCCATTTCGAGCTTTACCGATATTGTATAAATGTTTCCAGCAGAATTTGAACTCGCAACCCTTATACAATAAGTACCATACTCTAATCACTTAGCCACGACTGCTCAATATAATTATTAAACTCATGACTGGGGCAAAAAGAAGACAATATTTGTCATATCACTAT